TGTCCTCTGGAATATACAGAGTGCATAATATATAACTACAAAACCATTACTAAAATAGAGAATAATATGAGCAACTCTTTACTAAAGGCTTAAGATCTAGATTCTCATATAATATTGCCCTTATTTCATCTAGTATGGCATCTTCAATCACTGTTGTTAGTGCATTGATCTTTTGTTCACCTATAGAAACTACACCTCAGACATTTCTTATAGACAAATCATATTATTTGCTTATTTGAGTACATTCTGTCTATCTAACTAATATGCATCTCTTAATAGTAAACTAATCACATCTTATCAAAAGTGTGATATTGCTTAGATATAGGATATATAGACCAGAAGTAATTTCTCAGATTTAGAACAATAGATATATTATCATCAACTCTTCTAAGAACATTTACTGTATTAAGCATATTCTTATGTGACTTGTATATTTGATGTTTTAAATAGCACAGTTTGATGCTTTCTAAAATTGATGACATATATGATTGCTTGGTGCATATCTATTAATTACAGATGGGATTCTAACAACTTGATGAATTTATTATGATTTTTTAAAATGGCATAATTTGATTCTTTTTAAAATTGATGATATATATGATTGCTTGGTATTAGAAAAATAGTTATAAATAGGATGATAACGACTTGATGACTAGAACATGATGTTTTAAAATGGCAGCATTTGGAGGTTATTCACAATCACTAGGAGGTCATTCACAATCACTAAACTAAGTAAAAAATAATTAGAATTGTAAAACTTTTTGTTCTTTTGTTTTTTTTGAACTTCTCCGAAACCCCCTTCGGCATCCTGAAAAATTTCAGTTGATACACAATTAATATGCTTCTACTGAGATACAGGCTGGGTCACAAGAAATCAACTGAAATTTTTCAGGATGCCGAAGGGGGTTTCGGAGAAGCGTCTGTTCTTATATTTTTTATTTATTAGTTAATCTAGTTGCTAAAATCTTTTTGGCCATCACTAAACATTCTGATTTTTAAAATATTTTTCAACTGCTAGTAATTGATTTGTTATTTAATACTTGGTTATTCTGATACAAGATATTAAGTTTCTTTAAACTTTCTTATTTGTGAATGGCCTCCCAACTGAAGACTGTAGAGATCACCCAGACTCAAGAATGATTAAGAACATGGGGTTGCTGAAGAATAATTCACCTATTGATTGTATTGTGCTTGATGGTGGTTATCCACAAAGTATTTTGGAAGAGATGACTGAGGAAGAAGAGCAGGATACTTTTGGACTGCACAACTTTTGTTTACCAGTAAGAAAGCAGAGAGGAACAAGCTTATCAGAAACAGAAGCTGAATATAATTCCCATCTTGGATCATTCCGTTCAATGGTAGAAAATACATTTGGAGAACTAGGCAATACATTCAAAGGCTGTCAAACAGGGAGATTGTTAGAGTAAAGAATAGGAATGTTTACAATGTGCAAATGAAGTTATGCTGCTTACTCTATAATATGAAGAAGATACTAGCAAACAGTGATGTACAAATTGATCATCATCACTCACTCTGGGTTATGAGCAACTTTGATTACCCTGATACACATGATAAGTCAACACAAGTGGAACCAATACATACTTTGCCCCAAAAAGCAGAGTTAGAAGCATCTATTGTTGAAATTCAAAATTGATTCCTTCAATCTAAAATTGATGATACATATGATTGCTTGGTGCATATCGATTAATTACAGATGGAGTATTAATGACTTGATGACTTGAATTTGATGTTTTAAAATAGCACAGCTTGATTCTTTTAAAATTGATGACACATATGATTGCTTGGTGCATATCTATTAATTACAGATGGGATTCTAATAACTTGATGAATTTATTATGATTTTTTAAAATGTATAGTTTGATACTTTCTAAAATTGATGAGTTATATGATTGCTTGGTATTAGATAAATAGTTATAAATAGGATGATAACGACTTGATGACTTGAACATGATGTTTTAAAATGGCAGCTTTTGAATAAATCTAATTCTATAAGGAGATCAGTCAGAAATGGTTAGCTATTTAATAATTATTAATATTTTTGTTGTTTTCTTGTTCTGATGCCAAATATGGTGCTTCTACGAAACCCCCTTCGGCATCCTGAAAAATTTCAGTTGATACACAATTAATATGCTTCTACTGAGATAGAGGCTGCGTCCCGAGAAATCAACTGAAATTTTTCAGGATGCCGAAGGGGTTTCATAGAAGCACCATATTTGGCATCTTTGTTTGTTTGTTAATCTAGTTGCTAGAATCTTTTTGGCCATTGCTAAACATTCTGTTTTTTAAAATATTTATCTACTGTTAGTAATTGATTTCTTATTTGTTAATTGGTTATTCTGTTAACAGATATTTAGTTTCTTTAAACTTTTATATTTATGAATGGCCTCCATTGGCTATAGATATCAGTCAGGGGTAATGCCAGCCTGGCTTAGATACCTGGTGGAGCAAGTCGAGATATCGTTCACCGAGTTGCAGTTTGAAAAATCAGGCCACTTTTTTTTTTTTGGCAAAATGTGAAAATGGCTGTACCTACGACAGGGGGTCCACATTTGGGCTGCTTTATATTCTGCGAGTACGAAATGTGGCTAGTTGGCTGGCTGCCGAAAGGTGAGTTAGAATCACTATTGTAAGCAAAAAAACTGGAGCTGGTCAAGCTAAAAAATTGTCGACCACGCTACCATGTTCCTAGCACTGGTGAAATTAAATGCGATATAGTGGCGGGTCACTTGGGTGTTGGTATGGCAAACCCAGGCATCAGCCAGTGGCACTTGGTCATGACCAGTATTAAAATGCATTTGTCTGCATCCGAATTTCACCATTCGTTCGGCATCAAATTGATTATCTATTACACGGCTCTATCTCATACGAGCAAGGTGATGCCGGCATGCATCATCTGTAGCCAACATGTGTTTCCAGGCGAAATTATGTGAGATAATACCGAGGCAAAGCGTCTGTAGGTGCTTTACTATGATGCATTGCAAAACCGGCATCCTTATAAAATACGCCAAAGGGATCAAGCCTATACAACACCTGGTAAATAAAGCCAGGGCATTTAAACCATGTGTGTTGTGCATAGAGCACAGGCGTAGAAGTGGATATACTAGATGTGCCACTAGTTACCCTATGTAAATGAGAGTTGTGTTTTGACAACAGAGTAACTACATACTCGTCATGATGGTTGTCTGAATAGTGCCTGGTGAAACTGTTGGCTGTTGGGGAGTTGTGTGGTGTAAGTATGCAGTATATAGAGGTGTGTGCTTCAAGTAAAAGTCAGTGAGAAAAGAGAAGAGAGAGAAGAGAAACGATTACATACCCTAACAATCGGCACATACGCTCACTACGAAACGAATGTCTTCGATCTATGTTCGATCGAGACATCATACCAAGGGCGATACCATGTCTCCCTCAAAGGTCCGGGTCTGTGCACCCGCTGCCATGCACCCGGCCGCTGCGCAACGGATTCGTGGCCATGCAAATGAAGGGGATATCGCTAAGGCGATATCATCGCAAGCATGTCTCTCTACATGCGATATCTGCGGATTCGTAATGCAGATATAGGTTCGTGAGAACATCGATTGCCATGATTCGCAGCGGTGATCAACAGGTCTGCAAATCATCCCAACGGGTTTTGACGAGCTGCGGTAGCTGAACTGTCCCTCCACTTTGGGCAATGGATAGCATGCTCTGTCTTGGCGCAGGGCGGTTCGGCTATAAAAGCCCTTTTCTTTTGCTGTTAGCCATTTTTAAATCCAGTTGTTCTATTAGCTCCAGGTTATTTTGATTCAGGAATGAAGTTTATCGTTTGTGCTTTATCCGTCCTTGCCTTTGCAGGCAGTGCTGTCAACGCTGCTCCTTCAGATCAGTTTGTGTTTAGCCCCCACCATCGACCAGGGTTTGCAGATGGGTCTCTCCAAAATGCCAAAAGCAGTGGACAATGGACTCAAATAACAACCATGGACGCATTCCCTGACTACCGCTTGCGCATCAAGAGCCCGCAGCTATGTGATACCAGTGTCACACAATACAGTGGGTATATGGACACCGATGAGGACAAGCACTTTTACTTCTGGTTCTTCGAAGCGCGAAATGTCCCCAGCGATGAGGCACCTCTAATTCTGTGGACCAACGGTGGACCTGGCTGCAGCTCCTTCACTGGTCTTCTGATGGAGCACGGTCCGTGCCGTGTGAGCAAAGGTGGAAACAGCACCGAGTATAATCCTTATGGATGGAACGACCGCGCGAATATCATCTTCATTGACCAGCCGCTGAACACAGGATTCTCGTATGGAAAGAAGGTTGACAACTCGTACGATGCCGGAAAGGACGTCAACGTATTCCTGCGCATGTTCTACAAGAGTTTCCCGCAGTATGCCAATAGCGAGCTGCATGTGTTTGGCGAGTCTTACGGCGGTCATTATGTGCCAGCTATTGGCAAAGCTATCCACGAGGCTAATCTGGAGCTGGTCAAGAAACGTGAAATGAGCCTGCTTAGCAAAGCAGAGGCTGAGGTCGACGTCCTTCCGCTTGTTTCGATTGGTATTGGTAACGGCTTGGTTGATGTGTTGACTCAGCATGCGTACTACGCCAAAATGGCTTGCAACTCTACATACCCACCCGTTCTTCCTCAAGAGACTTGCGACAAGATGGATGCTGCTGTTCCTACCTGCGACTTTTTGGTCAAGGCATGCTACAAGTGGCAAACCCGCCTCGCGTGTATCCCAGCCGAGTACTACTGCCTCAGTCGCATCATGGGTCCTTACAGCGATGGCACACACAACAACCCTTACGATGTTCGCAAGAAGTGCGTGGGCGACAATTTGTGCTATGAAATTGAGGACGATATCGACAGGTATCTGAACATTCCGGCTGTTCAGCAGGAGCTTGGTGTTGACGTGCCAAAGTTTGTCGGCTGCAACCAAAAGGTCAGCGAGGGGTTCCTTCTCAACGGCGATTGGATGAAGCCATTGGTGCGTGAAATACCCCCGCTCCTTGAAGCTGGAATTCGTGTCCTCAACTACGCTGGTGATGCAGACTGGATCTGTAACTGGTACGGCAACAAGGCATGGTCGCTCAAGCTCGACTGGTCCGGCAAGGATGGTTTCAGCGGGGCCGACGATACTGAGTGGAATGTCGACAGCGAGCAGGCTGGTGAGGCCCGCACCTTCGAGAACTTCACATTCCTGCGTGTGTTCGGCGCTGGACACATGGTTCCCTACGACCAGCCCAAGAACTCGCTGGACATGATCAACCGCTGGCTCGACGGAAAGCCGTTCTAGTCGATCCGGGTTATCTTTTTCCCCGCACCCTTTTCATAAGGTCTATGTGAATCAACTATGCACAGCAGCTATCATGCGTCCGCGAGTTTAGGTGGCAACTGTGAGAAAAATGTGAGGGACTGCTTTGCCTGCTCTTTTCTTATTGTTCTCATAAGAATCCATTTTTGACATGCTATTTACTGGGTCACGCTTGGCACTTGGCACTGTGCTTCTCCTGGCTACTGCAGTCACTGCCACGCCAGCTCACCAGCATGTTTTCAACCAGCACCATCACGGCGCCGCAGCATCTAAGGCGTCTGGCCGTGTGGCTAACCCGGCGATGGTAGACATGAGCCAGTGGACAACAGTGTCCACAATGGATGCAATCCCCAACTATCGACTGCGCGTGAAGAACCCGGGTCTGTGTGATACCAGCGTCGACCAGTACAGCGGGTATCTCGATACCGCGGAGGACAAGCACTTTTTCTTCTGGTTCTTTGAAGCACGCAAGGTCAAGCGCGAAGATGCGCCGCTCATTCTGTGGCTCAACGGCGGCCCTGGCTGCAGTTCGTTCACCGGTCTGCTGATGGAGCTTGGCCCGTGCCGTGTCAGTGAGGGTGGCAACGGCACAGACCACAATCCGTTTAGTTGGAACGATCGTGCGCACATCATCTTCCTTGACCAGCCCACCAATGTTGGCTTCTCATACTGGTTCAGACGTGTTCAGCTCTGTTGCGGCAGGAAGGGACGTCAATGCGTTGCTCCAAGCTGTTCTACAAGAGCTTTCCCGCAGTATGCTAACAGCGAGCTCCATGTTTTCGGGGAGTCATACGGCGGCCACTATGTCCCGGCTGTGGGCAAGGCAATCCATGAGGCGAACAGGGAACTGGAGAGCAAGCGGTCGCTGAGCCTTCTTTCTGTGAGTGAAGAGGAACAGCGCATCTTGCCACTCGCTTCTATTGGTATTGGAAACGGAATTGTCAATCCGCTTGTCCAGTTCAAGTATTTCTCGACAATGGCGTGCAACTCGACCTATCCAGCCACGCTTCCCCAAGAGACCTGTGATAAGATGGATGCCGCCTATCCGACATGTGCCCGCCTTTTGCGCGAGTGCTACAGGTGGAATGATGTATCCAGGTGCGAGGACTGCGACTAACTATTGCTATCCTACTATCAAGGGGCCATACATGGATACCGGGAGAAATCCCTATGACGTGCGGCGCTACTGCGTCGGCAACGGGCTATGCTACGAAATCGAGGACGACATTGACACCTATCTGAACAATGCTGGCGTGCAGAAAGCACTTGGTGCTGAAGTCAAGAAGTTCGAGTCGTGCTCGGAGAAGGTTGGAACTGGGTTTTCGCATGACGGTGATCATTCGAAGCCCTTCCACCAGTATGTCCCGCCCCTTCTTGCTGACAACATCCGTGTGCTTATCTACGCTGGGGATGCTGACTTTACATGCAATTGGTATGGCAACAAGGCGTGGTCGATGGAGCTCGAGTGGCCAGGAAAAGGAAGCATTCAATGGTGCCAGTGATGAGCTATGGTTGGTGGATGGTGTGGGTGCTGGCGAGGTGCGCACCCATGAAAATTTCACTTTCCTGCGCGTGTTTGGTGCCGGACACATGGTTCCGTATGACAAGCCCAAGGAGTCTCTAGACATGATCAACCGCTGGCTCGACAGAAAGCCATATTGAGCACTGAATGCTCATACTTATTACCATTTTACTCCAAGCAAGGAATACGTGGCAGCAGGCCGCTATATGCTTTGAAGTATTGGTATGCTGGCTTCAGCAGAGTCTGGATAATAGGCTTTATGGAATAAAGCAGATGTGAAATGACTTGAAGTGAGAAAAGGAGATATCTGGCCTCAATGTGGGCCGAAATGCATGTGTTTGGCTTCATTGTCATCCTGAACGTTCGTGACGTTCTGGAACATTAGTCGAACAGCAGTGCTGGTTGGAACCTTTCTGTATTAAGACCAGCATCACTGCGTGGACTAAGGGCACAGGGACACATCGGCGCTTGGTGCCAACAGGTATAAAGTGCAGCTGTAGATGACTATCGTTATATTGGATTTAGCATTTACTGAATTAGTGATCGTTATCGTCGTCATCATCGCTATCAGCTTCGGTGTCTGTATCATCAGCCGTCAGTTTCCCTGGCTTTATCCAGTGTTGTGCTGTCAGTCCTGGTTGGTGATTTGCCTTCAGAAGTGCTTGTAGTACTACCCGCTGCCTCGCTGTGGGATGCGTCCAAAGTTGCCGGCGGCGGTCCATCCTCATCACCCATTTGCAAAATATACGACAGCATCTGCCATCCAGCTGGTGGATCAATGCTTTCTACTTTGTCAGGCAGTGGATTCGGTCCTCCGGGCTGACCTTCCAGATCCATGCCGTCGCGGCCAATGGCATTGCCTGAAGCCTTGATTCCTTGTGCAATGCAGTTCTCCTTGAGCCCCTCCGGCAAATGCGATGTTATTCTGCAGCAAACCCGGTGCTGTGACAAAGGTAAGCTCAAGGCCACGAATCGCATGGTACTCAATATGGCAGTGAAATAGCCATGCTCCAGGATTGTTGGCGCGGAAGCGCAGAACAGCATAGTGGCCGCCACGCAGGATAAACGTGTCACGCTTGACTGGGGCATCGCGAGCCAGCTTGGTGCGGTGTAAGGCCTGACCGTAGTGCCCCAATTTCGACTATCTGGAACACATGCCCGTGCAGATGGAATGGGTGCGTATAATAATCGTGGTTGTTCAATGTAATCTCCACCACATCACCCATATTCAGCACGTACGTGTTGGACTGGCGGCCGTATACTTCGCGCTTGTTAGCATTGTCGCCAGTGGACAGTGCTGTAAGCAAAGTAGGCACCTCGGGCAAAATGAATGTGACATTGTTGAACGAGTGGCGGAATGACTGATCGTCAAATACGCCCGAGTAGGCATCGAGCGTTACTTGCATCGTGGGGTCCATTAATGCCTCCTCATCCAAAGGCTCGAGGTCCAAATCACTGGTAATTTTCCATCCGCCGTTGACTTCACGCTTGAGCGACGCTTTTGGTGCGTATTCTAGAACCCCGGTAAAGTTGAGAGGGTTGTATTTGGGCATGGTGAACAGGTCCGTGAACATGTCGGCGTGGAACAAGTAGTTGTTGTCGGCTGTTTCCTTGGACCGCACAAGCACCGATACTCGTTGCCCCGCTGCCAGCATTACTCCCTTGGTTGGCTTCTCCTTGACCGGCACGCCATCGACCTCGATGATCCGCAGCTCATGGTCGTCGATACTAAAGTGAAATTCAAACGAGGCGCCAATGTTCAACAGCCGTAGCCTGTACGTCTTGTTCTTGACAAACTTGATCACCTTGGCATTCAAACACTCGCCGCCAATGATGCCGTACGGGATCATCGGCTTATAGCGCACATTGGGATCAGGACTTGAAAACTGCTTGATGATAGTGTTTGCTGGCTCACGGAACCAATCGGACATGGGAAGGATAACATCTTCGTCGTACTTGTAGTAGTCATTTGGATCGCGCACGATTAAAGCAGTGCGTAAACCATCTGAAGTTTGCGCCTTGTAATGGCTGTGGATCCAGTACGTTCCGGCCTGTACCATCGGTATGCGATATGTGAATGTGCCATTAGGAGGAATAGAGCACTCGGTTACCATTGCAGCGCCATCGTAGTAGTTGGTGCCATTTTGGAACAGCCCATGCGAATGCAGAGATGTGGGCTCGTCGAGCGAGTTGTGTGCGTGGATTATTAGTGTATCGCCCAAGGTCACCTCTACTGGGGAGTGGCCATTTGCCATTGACACCAATAGCCTTCCGACTAAACAGCCTACCAAAGCTAAAATCGATATAGCCGATATTCCAGTCCAGTACCACATCGGTTGCCTGGCACACAAGGAGCACCGGTGCGAGCAGTGGCAGAAGCACTTTCCAGCGCATGATCGCGAGCTATTATAAAAAGGATGTAAAATGATGTTGAAGAGTGTGGGGAAAGAGGAATGCACCGGGGGTGCAGACAAAGGACATCCACGGTGATGTTGTCTACCTTTCCGAGTTTGTCCCGGTCCTTGCTCCGCCCTCAACTCCATCGGGCATACATGCAGGTGCCTGATTTCAATAAATGCACGTCGTATATTAAACTGGCAAAGACATTATTGTGCATAGTGGTGGTAGTGGTGCGACATTACGTTCCTCCTGGGCAAAAGCACTATTCAAGCCTTACAGCGCGCTGGTCGACAGAAGGG